GATAGATAGATAGATAGATAGATAGATAGATAGATAGATAGATAGATAGATAGATTCTAAATTTCATCGCTTGTCTCCTTCCGTCTGCAGGAGTGCTGTATCTCTCTCACTTTGATTTGCCCGAGGCAAGTGAGATGGAAGAAGAAGCAGCAGCCCATATCTAAAAATCTTAACTTCTAATTGTGTTGACGGGAACCAAAAACTTGTACAATACATTGCCAGCCAGCCATCCTCACAGAGATGGCTATCGATGGAAAACAAAGCGAGCCACTTAAAACACACGCCATCTACCCAGCAATCGAAATGAATTGTTTGGATTCAATTATCTTCTCCACCCTTCGAGTTGCAAAATTAAACTATCTTGGAGTAGATCTATGATGTTTCACGACGTAGAATCAGGCGCTCGTCAATTTTTGGGCATATGGGGTTATCGGTATTATCTTAAAGCCTGTTCATTTGCTTTCCTTGGGGTGAAAATAATATTCATTAATGTTAAAGAGAAGTTGAAATATTTTCCTTTGAAAGAGGTCAGGGTCGCCTGGTTTCAGAGGTAGACGTAGGCCTATAATTAGAGAGAAAATTGCCACTAAAGTTTGGTAACGTCCATAACCTGAGAGTCCTTGGAAACTGACAATATACATTTGTTGAGCTTTAATCAATGTTTTTCAGTAAAATCCACACAGCATATTAAGTGTTTTTAAATGGATATAAAAGGAGTTGAGAAAAAAAAGTTTAAAAAAATAATTGCCCATCAGTTAAAACAAACGCTATTTTTTTATTTCATTATTTCGACGAGCGCCTGATTTCACCACGATGGCTCAAATATACTGGCTACAAGTACAAGCCACATGAGGCTTCACGAATAAGAGATACTGAAACCAAGAGAGAAGCCTGCAAGCCGCGCACATCCTCAGGTAAAAGTAGAGTTTTGAGTACTCAAAATGTGGGCAAAGTTTTTTTTACTGTCAGAATGGGTGTCATCGGCCGCAGCGGAAGCCACAGTAACCTTTACTTTTTCTTTTTCGCTGATAAATTAGTCTCCTCTGCGGATGGATGGATGGATGGATGGATGGATGGATGGATGGATGGATGGATGGATGGATGGATGAAAGGATGGTAGATGGATGGATGGATGGATGAATGGAGGGATGGATGAAAGGATGGTAGATGGATGGATGAATGGAAGGATAAATGGATAGGTCGTGGAGCCATTGGCGGACAAACTATTAGACTTACTTTCTACTGGCTACAAGACAAAATGTTCCACAGAACACAGACGGCAAGCTGTTAAAGTTACTAAAGCCAAAGAGATCAACATTCTGCAGGAGAGAGAGAGAGAGAGAGAGAGAGAGAGAGAGAGACAGAGAGAGAGAGAGAGAGAGAGAGAAAACCTTTTAATT